AGGCATAACTTCTAACACAGTTGACACGCCGGTTACCGCAAGCCGAAAGCAGCTAATACAGCAAGTTATCCACTTAGAAATCCAACGGAACATTGCGAGAGAAGAGTTCGCGGGGTTGGAGGGTGCAGAAGGCTGTTACCAACTTGGGATAAACCGGACTAAGTTTCCTGGCTCGGTACTTATGAAACTGCCACGCGAAAATGTTCAAGTTTATTCTTCCCGTACGCACTGACAGTGAAATACCACAGGTATCGATTTATAACAATTAAGTTAATTACCGCTCAGATATGTTGTTTGTCAAAACTCCTTTGAAGACATATCTTTAACATATCTTTAAAAATTATCACTTTTCATATTTTTATAGCAACAATGTTTAACAAAATAAACATATGTACTTACAAAAATTAAGAAATAAAATAATTATTTGTAAATAATAACATAATATATTCCATTTAGCTATTCATATTTATACATAATTGTACTTGTATATAATTAATTGTAACAATTACAAAAAATACATATAGATTTTATTTTAATGTCTCGAGATTGTATTCATTGATCAATGTTCTATATTTTATTTTTTATAGATAAAAAAACATATATGATTAAATAGTGTAAAAATAATGAAAGACGAATTTAATTTCTATTAATTGTTTTTAATTCATTGTATTACTATAACTGGTCAGATGGTGTCAAAACTTAACAAAATTTAACGTGAGATTTCAGCTTATAAAATTTTAATTCGCAAAAATATTTACAAGATTATATATTGTTAAATAATTCTTAAGCTTTATCATATGACGCATGAGAAGAGAATATTTGATATCACAATGAAATATTTTATGTCAGCACTTTAAGCTGACAATTTGTGCTTTACAAAATGATCCGTTGTGATATTTTATCGAGAAAATACTGGAAAATGCTGGATTTAGTCAGGGATTTGAGATTCGTCCTGTTCTCTAAAGATAAGATTTTTGTTTTCCATCAAGATCATGGCACATCCATACAGCAACAAAGTGAACGTTTGCGATTTTTGAAGGATTATATAAAATTTCGTAGAAATTAGTTAAAAAATTTCTTGTTTCTTTCTCTTCCTTCTTTTCAACACCACCTTCTTATTTTATTTACTTATATCGCGATTAAAATTTTTTTATTATTTAGGAAAACAATAATATTAAAAGAACTCTTTAATTTCAAAATTTTTCCAAGATATAAAAAAATACTTATATAATTAAACTTTCGTCTCGAGATGTCCATAAAATAATATTGTTCAATCTCTTTATTACATTTTATCTATAGGTCGCGCGCTAGGAGAAAATCGAAAGGTGTCTTCGACATCTCGTCAGAACGGGACCTTCTTCAAGCAAACACATTTCCGGCATATTCTATAACGCAAAAGTAAAGGAAGTGATGGTACGAAGGAGAAATAGTGTATGCAGACGCGGGCCTATATCAAAAGTTCACTTCCGTTGGGGTCCGCGAAAAAGGAGACGATGACATGGCTGCGTCAGGTAAGTTGACTCACGACGAAATTGGTTTCGACGCGTGTCGGTGAATGTCTCTCGAACTTTCATCGTGATACCTTCACTTAGATAGACATGTACTTTCACTGTACTTTCGCAGTTATGGAATAGAATAATAGATGGCATTACACTCGACAAACAGAATCTTAAGTGTCTAATAATTTTTTATTTTGAAATTTTTTATTTTATTTTTAAGAGAGAAAAGATATTAATTTCTCTTAATGAAAATATCAAAAGCTATTTTATAATTTTATAAGAGAAGAGAAATTTATGAAAAAGATATACACAGCATAGTTAAATCCTCTCGTGATCAATGTCAATAAAATCTCATAGGAGATCATCATAAATCTCATAGGATGATAAAATGTTTTAAATTAAAATTTATTAAAACTAATGTGTTTAACTAAATTCGCAACATATATTATGAGTTTTAAAAATACATTTTCATTTATCAATATATGAGAGAGATAAAAAAAAATAAATCATTTCTTCAATTTCTAAGGTACCCATAGCTCAGTTATTTTTGTTTTTCATTTTAATAACTTTTTCATCGCTTCAACTACACAATAGTGTAATTTTGTTAAATATTTGAAGATTATCTCGCTAATAAGAAATATATAAATATTAAGTGTATAATTGAAAATATTACTCACGATATCGAAGTCCAGATTCTCGGCGATCCAATCGCGTCCTTGTTTAAACTCATCATGGAGACCCATGATATAAAGAGTGTCAAGTCCATCGACGATAGTAGCGCCCATATTTGAGGCCCCGAAGATACTGGCACTGTGACCTCTCTTCGAGATTGGTCTTAATTCGTTTTTCCCCCATGCATACCGTACGTAATTGTCCCAACCATGCTTCATCATCTGTATTAAAATAAAAAATGCAAAGAATTAATGTAAATTTTGCATTTTAAAAGTGAAAACATTTATATTTTACAATTACGTAAAATAAATGTCTATTGTCCATTATACAGCTGCTATGATAAATCAGCATCTTTTGTTTGCATTCTATTTTTTTCCGCAAATAAATTTAAGTTTTTTTAAAGATTTAACATCAGATATAGACAGCATTTTAAAACTTAATTGCTAATAATATAGGTACATCAAATAAAAATTAATGTCTCAGAAAATCAACCCTACTACTGAATAACCCAATCATGAATATGTGTAGTCGAAATATCGAAGATATCAAACTTCGGACGCCCCAAGTAATCTATTCTGTGTAATAATAAATAAATATTTTGTCAGATCTGTCCGTTCATTGACCATTATTTCTGTTGTTCTTGATTTTGGGAGCAATTTGCAAGACACCCGCAGTCATGGCTGTTTCATCACGTTTTTATGACGGCATAATTTAGGGGTAATATAATATCGAAAAGACCTGGTCAATGACATTACCAGAAATTGGTCCTTTTTTTTCTTTTTCACTCTTTTTCGGCTGCGGTTATGATAAAATAATAACGGAAATTAAAGTGCACAAAGAATCGTGAGATGACAGTAGAAGAGAAATGCATGTCATTTTACAATTGCCTGCATTCTGGACCACCTTCAAATGTGAATCAGATTTGCTTATTGTGACTTTTCGTAACTTTCACCTTAAGTAGACATATGTTTGCGTTATTATTTTAAAGTAATCTAATAAAAATGTGTTAATATAATCCTAGATTAATACGAAATTCTCGAGTTTTGGATTATCAAAAGGGTGTAATAAATTCACAATAACCGCGCGAAGAATCGTTGAGATGTGGGATGTCGCAGTAAAGACGTGAAATTCCATGGAGCTCGAAAGATGGCAGTGTCGCGTTATTACGTCGGCTTAGAAAGCGGGTTGGCGATGCAGAAAATTGCAGAGGACGATCGCACGGGTTGACGGCGGCATCGCGCATCGCGTCGTTCAACGCCTTCCACCATTATCCATGTAATCGTGGATAATTTGTTCCGTAGAAACCGCGTCGAATGCACAGCACATGTTGGACCCGTAGCCGGTAATCTGGTTAACATCCATGTTAGGATTAAACCATTAGCCTCGGTGTCGGTCGACGGATCGAAAGGGAACAGTGAAGAGCGATGTGAGAGAGAAGAGGACGCAAGGTGGACAAGGAGAAGGCAAAACCTTGTGTCGGACGTGTGGCTTCGTTCAATTATTCTCCCTTTGTTACGTCACTTCCGTAGAAACCGGATTCTCTCCCCGACTTGTCCGGAAGACCAAGTTTCTTTTTTCGCTTTTGCAATCCAAGAGTAATTCATTAAAACCATTTAATGTGGTTAAGCAGTAAGCACCGACTCGGAAAAAGTGCTGCCCTGGTCGCGCGAAATACGCGCGCGAAGTGTCTATTTTAATTAACAGTAAAATTATGCAAAATAGATATTTATTTATTTATTTATATTTAAAAAGTTTAGAAATAGAAGAAACGAAATTGGATTGTACTCAATAAATGGAAGTAAAGTAACTAAAATGATTATATCGATAAAATTTGATATCTTTTTTTAGTTTTTATAATGTAAGATAGATATATATACACAGGATGTGTAACTTGATCATATTTCGAGATCATCAATTTTTTTTAGCATATTTTCATTAACATGGTAATGCAGTTTAAAAAAAAAAACCAAATTCAATCATCTAGGATAAAGTGACTCTACAATGACGTCAAAAATTTTGACATATAATTTTCACAAAAGTGCAGGAATTTATTGTCAAACTCGTATGTATCGTAAATCTGGCTTTAATTAATTCAACGGATAAATTTATTATTTTACGCGCATTACTCACGCGCAGACAAACCGCGGCAGGTTGGGGCATCGCAGACGATATGAATTCTGTAGAGCACCCGTGGGAGCTCTCTCGCGTTTTGAGAGAGAGAAAATATCCTTTCAAATTGCCTGCGCTCCATGCATTTCCATTAATAAACAAAATGCACGCTGGAAGGGAGGAAAAGCAACGGTGCAGCTTCGGCGAAAAGGGACAGGGGGAGGAGGAGCAGGAAGCGAGGGGTTGTGGGGGAGGGGGGAGGGGGGGGCGATGCTCCGTCAGACGATTGAGTATGCATGGTACACAAACAAAGCAAAAGCTTTGGATACTCCAGGGGAGATGCACACAAATGCACATCGGCGCTGGCTCTGCGTATGCGCGGGTGTATTCCCGATACTGGGCACGTATAAGTGTACTTAACCGTGGCGCTTTTATTTCCTCTCTTTATTTCCCGCGGTTTTCAATTTACGTTATTTATTGCCCTCCACGACCGTCCCAGTCGTCCCGCCGCGTCGGCGTCCCACCGTGATTTTGTGAAAGCACCCCAAACCCTCTGGCTCTGTCAACATACTCACATATCCGCTCGCGCGCATATATGTATGTATGTATGTATGTATGTATGTATGTATGTATGTGTGT